AATCTGCGCGTACATTTTACATGCGCCCATTTTTAGATTGCTGATAAGATCAAATCGGTCCTTACAGCACTGCGTTGTGGTGCTGGAATCTGGTGATGGAACTGGGGGAGTAAAAGCATAATCTTTATTGTTCGTGTTGCTGTAACCGTTAATTGGACAGATGGACCACGGCGCCCGCGTCCTGGCGTCACTTGCAGTGGCCAATGCCGTTCGGTTTTAGGGAAGCTGCAACCCAGACCATCACAGTCCTTGCTCCCGAGATTGCCGGCACGCATGTTGAAACCTTTTGATGTAATTTGTTTCGCTAATCGATTCTGTAAAATAATGGACGTTCTCAAGCAAACATGAAAAGACCTTGTTTGTTCTTGAACTCTTCTCGATCCACCATACTCAACAATAGTGCCCCTTATTTCCTTCCGTGCAAGGGTAGAACACTTGACGCACACTTCCGTAGAACACTAGGGGCACATTACTGCTCCCGGTCTAGTGTTGAAGGCCCATTATTTCCCATCGCGGTGTACCTTCCAGCCGCCATTCTGGTGGCACGAGGCGGGATCTCCTGCTCGATCCGGAAGCCCTGATCGGATACATCACATCACCTTGTTCTCCTCCCTGATGCGGAAGGTTTTCATACACGCGCAGTTAGCCCCAGGTCAGTATAGGAACCTCCATTAAGAGTACATCTGATCGCCGCGGGTGGCCCAATCATTGTCACATAGACTACAATGCCGGACTTTTCTGTTCTTTTTCAGAGATATTGAGGATCCCTTAGACGTAGATTGTCGATCAAAATGGGGTCCCAAATTTGCATTGACATGGCGCTGCAGTCTCCATAGGCCGCGCGTCGTCAGTCCCGCGGCTGTGACATTTAGTGATAGCTAATGGGCAAGCAAAAAGATGACGCACCTCCAGGAAGACAGCTGGCGAACTAGGTATATCGATATGCATAGCTATGATAGTACAAAATAACGCTAAACGCAACTTAAATTTTAAAAGTGGGGGAGTAGTTAACATTGCTGGCCTCCCATCTGGAGAAGTGGTGGGGGGGGGGGGGCACTGCCCCCCCCCCCCTCCTGTTTCTACACTCATGGTGTGGTGCTGGCAACTGACATATCTACACCAGCGCCATCGAATACACACAGTCGCGCTCTTTGGGTTCGATTAGACGTATTTTTCATGGGCCGTCGTATTCTGTTCATCACTCTGCCGTTGGGCCGGAGACCGTGAACAACGCGACCTCATAGAGTGATGCAAACAAAATGGCGCACGTCGGCCGATAAGCAATTTACAGTGTCGAGCGACAGCGCTCCTCAGTACTGTTGTGTGCACTTGGTTTCGCCCTAAGCGCTCAAGTAAAAACATTTTACCTTGGCCGTGGTGTTCTTGCAAATCGCCCCTGCATGCGACAACCCAGCATTGGCCAAAATTCAGTGATGCGATGTGGGTCGATCGACCGAACAAAATCGGAACAAAATCCAACGAGTGGGTTGTGCTGTCAGCTGATAGCCCTATAATGGCGTCATCGAATGCACACACGCACTCGACGAGCGCGATCATAAGCATTTTCGCGGCCCACCGTATTCTAGTCATTCTAGCCATAACCATCTGGCCTCTACGGGCAAGCCGACCACAAACAGCAATGCGCCGTGCAGGGGTGATGTGAAGCACAAAAGGTCATGCCGGCCGATGAGCAGCTTACTTAGGCGGCAGAAAGCGTCAGTGTCACAAAATCATTATGTGCACGTGGTTGCACCCTCCGCGCACGCGTATAAATATTTTGAGCTCGGCATCATATCTTTGCAAATTACCGTTGAGACCGGCCTGTTATCATTGAGTGATACTCTGAGGGGAGTTCAAACGAATCCAATATTTAACCTAGACGGAGACGTTCGATTTACTGGCGGTAGTCCTATACCAGCGCTTTATGATGCATTCAGCCACACTACTCGCGCGTGATTATATGTATTTTCCCGGGACGCCGTATTTGAACGATGGTGGAAGCACTCCCCACCGGCAAGGTAACTTGTTCACCGGCCGACATGACATCTTTTGTTCAGATGACCCCTTGACGTCGCATTGTTAACTCCGGCCGGCCTGTAGGTGAGTGATGCCAAAAAACGGTGGCCCGGGACAAATATCTATAATCGCACGCGTAGAGAGTCACTGTGTGCATTCGGTTGCACTGGTATAGGGCTATCACCTGCTAACACAACCCTCTGGTTGGATTTTGGTTTCCATTTTTTTGGTCGACCCTCGACCGTGTATCACTCAAAGCTGGCGGATCTCCACGCGGCGCGACTTGCATAGATCAGGCGTCCAATTAAAAAAAAAAACATGGACTAGTGTATATAGTACGCAACCGGAGCGATTTCTAAGAACACCCTGTGCAAGTTTTAAAGTTTTGCTCGTGTGCGGAGGGTGCGACCATGCACCGATGACATTAGGAAGCAACAACGGCCGGGAATATAAATCGCTCATTGGCCAGCATGACCTGTTTGTTTAAATCCCCTCTTGATAGCGTATAGCCATTTGCGGTCTACGTTCCCATATCCAGATGGCTAGAATAAGGCGACCAGGGAAAATACTTATGGTTCCGCGAGAACAGAGCGACCGCGTGCATCCGACATCACTAGTATTGCGCTATGACCTGACAGTATGCCGTACGTCTCCGACGAGGGAGTATGTTTTATTCGTAGAAGTGTGTATTCATTCCAACTGGAAATCACTCAATGTTGGGGGGGGGGGGGGCTGAGCGGACAGGCGCTATGAAAAGATCCCATACCCAATTCAAAATACTTTGACTCGTGCGCGGAGGGTGCAAATATGCGCAACGAATGACATCGTGGGGTAATATCGGCCGGTAAAGTAAGTTGGGTATCGTCCGACATTACTTCCTTGCTTATCCCACCGTTTGACGTCGCATTGTTAAAAAGAGCGTCCCACCTTTGGGACATGTGATTATTTTCGAGTCCAAATTACGCCGTCAACGCTTTGAAACGGCACTGTGCTGTTCCCTGCAGTTGCGACCACCGTCGTCATGACAACACCGTGCGGACCTCTCCTGGTGCGAAGAAAGAACGTTTGTAATTGGCCCAGCGGGCAAGGGCCTGTTACCGAGAAATTTGTTGGTTGAACCTCGAAACAGTACATCGTATGCATGCACCTGTTGCCAACGTCGGAGTGCGCCTAGAAAAGAGCAACTGTAGCTAACGTCATGGGGGGGGGGTCAAAGCCATAGTACAACGTTTCGTTGAATTCGCGGGATAATAGCTTCATCTCTGAACGTGTTTTTTGCAAAACAGTATGTTTCAAGCTTTCGGAGCATTTATTACACAAACATTTTTTGTCATTAGTGTGTTGCAAACCACACAGAGTACACACGTCGGAAAAAGCAAAACAAATGAAGTGTATTTCAAAGTGATAAGCATGGAGGCAAATGAGATTTCTCCCACAGGATCGGCTGCTTAAAACCGAGATTCTGGGTGATTCAGAGCGAGTTCGAGAAAACTAGCATTAGTGACCAAATTGCTTAACGGTATTGTACTGGAAGCTGATGTTCCTATGCCAGAGCTATGCGGTGTACATACTGGCTCTCTTCTGTCGTGATTGTACGCATGTTTTGCTATCTGCGGCCGGCAAGCAAACAGTGTGATAGCCAGCGTGCGGCGACCGATGAAGAACGGTGATAATCGTGCGCGACTATTGTGACTGTATTCTATAGCGCGAATAAAAAGGCCAGCGTACATGACAAGACGATTTGCTACGATCTGCCAATAAAGAACGCGTGCGCCGTCAAGAAAAATAGGCAATTACTGAGCGCCGATTTGGACACCTGGTTGATTCAGGACACCAATTTTTAGTTTCACCCCCAGGCCGCATACCACCCAACGCCGGCGGGCTGCTGCGGCGGTGATTTGCGAAGATACCATGTGGGATCTGAAACACTTTTGCCCGTAGTTATTGTGCATTGAATGTTGACGCGTTGACGTTGAGCGTTGACGTTAAGCGTTCATATGAAACATTCTCTTGAAGTCCACGAATATGAAATGCGTTATGCTTTATGCTTCGAATATGAAACATTCCCTTTAAGTCCACCATGCTAGCAGGTATCTGATGCGCTTCCAATGCATGTCGAACTATAATCCCATTCGCAGTTAAACGCACACTGGGGGTCAAAGCATGCCGGACCGTGGTCACAACCATTTAAACTGCAGCCCCCCGTACCTTCAATGTTGCAACCATTGCCAAAGTAATGACGAGCGCGCAACCGGACTGCAAATCAAAATCAAATCAAATACCCATCTAACGCGCTGTTGATGTCCTGATTTACCTAGTTCAGTTATATTGGATTTACGGCCACAATAACTTTGAATAGGCATCAGTTTACCGCTTGCAGTACCCTTTGTTCTTTGAAATCCGCCCACGCGGTTGATTCGCTCCAGAATTATGCAAAAGGGGCGTCCAAGGCGTCCGCCGGCTAACGCCACTTGGCAACTATCTCGGCAACTGCCGCGCCCATGAACGCAAAGGACATGTACCTCCCGTTGGTTTCCGAGTCCTAACTGAACTTAAGGCAAAGGAAAACCAGGCTGCTGCACTTTCCTGTCGGGATACAAGCGTAGCGCATTCATCTATGTGTTACGAAGTGGGTGTATAACCGTACGAGCCACGGGACAAACTAAGTTGAAGTCCACGCGGGTCTTTTTTGAAAGCCGACCGGTCTAATCCCCCGCGCACCTAACACGCAATAACGGAAATATTTTGCAATTGGATCATTTGTAGTCAATAGTCATTAGCGATAGATGTTGGGTTACCTTACGGTAATGTTCATCCGTGGGGGCCCCTGTCGCACATGTTCGTGTGAAGCTGCGGTAAAAACGCGTGGCCGTGACGTCAGAGTGACCGGTCATAATAAATGTCCACACAGGCGACCGGTTTCAACTGAATGAGGCAAGCTTCTACAACCTTATAACCGTTTTCAATACTCCTTAAACGAAACAAACACAACACTGAACTGTATTTCTAATCAAGCAGATACTATCTTCACATATTGAGATGAAGACGATGAGGAGCAGTAATCGTACCAGTGCAGGCAATTACTAGCTTCAAACGACCTTCGAACGGTCACACATGGAACTGAATCGGAAAATATGAGCATATGAACGGCCCTCGCGCGCCCAGTCCAGACACGAATAAAACATACCGAGCTACTGCTCCACCAGCCACGCAGCGCTGCGAATGGACAAAGCATAGCAAAGCCGAGCGAGTCGCCGGTCGCTGGTCAGTATCTCCACCCGCACGCGCCAGTGTTCCGTCCCGCACCAGGGCCACCCGCCACCGGGCCTGGCTTTGTACACGAGCCCGCCATCGGACGCGGCGGGTGAAGACGCCGCGCAGGGCGGGAGGCCGGGCCGCCCGCGCCTGCCCGGCCGCGGCGGTCAAGAGCGCGTCACGGCGGCAGCGCGCCCGACGCCATGGGCCACTCGCAGCCGGCCGGCCGGCTACGAGTGGGTGGCGTCGTCCTCCACGAAGTCGTACGCCTCCTCGCGAGTGACGCACACCACGTGGGACACCTGCGGGCGTTGGGAAAGGGCATGTGACGGCTGTCGGTCACGGCACGCAGCGGCCTGACACACACCACGTGGGACACCTGCGGGCGTTGGGAAAGGGTGTGACGGCTGCCGGTCACGGCACGCGACGGCCTGACACACACCACGTGGGACACCTGCAGACGGTGGGAAAGGCGTGTGACGGCTGCCGGTCACGGCACGCGACGGCCTGACACACACCACGTGGGACACCTGCAGACGGTGGGAAAGGGCGTGTGACGGCTGCCGGTCACGGCACGCGACGGCCTGACACACACCACGTGGGACACCTGCAGACGGTGGGAAAAGGCGTGTGACAGGTGCCGGTCACGGCACGCGGCGGCCTGACACGCGCACGCGCCTGTCGGCCAGTTCAGAAGCACGGCGTCCGTACCGCTTCCGCATATAATACCAGTCAACATTTATAATGTGTTTGCTGGCTTATACCAGATATATGCTGAGTAACATCAGCACCATACAGATACGGACTATATCAAAGAATGCGGTCGTCTAGCACGACTATCAAGCGTCCTTCAATGGCAGGCGGGCCTTCACTCCTGGGCGGCTGTCGGCACATCGAGGGCCCGGCTCAAGTCTCACCTTATTCCTGAACTTGACGCCGTAGAACTTGTTAGCGTGCTCGAGCAGTTCGGGTCGGAAGGTGGTCGTGATGAACTGGGCCTCGGTCGCGAGCTCGTGGATCATGTCGGCCACCGCCTTACGGTGCGTCGCGTCCAGCGCCTGATCAACACGCGCTACATGGTCAGAGCTCACGCAGAGGCACAAGACAAGTGTGCAGACACAGAGCAGACGAGCGGAGCACAACACACACTGGACAGCCTAGTCAGGCTTACGCGCGTTCACTGTATAGACGGGCCCAGAAGAACAGTCGCACATCCGATATGAAAACAACAGTTACCAGAGAGGTGAACAGAGTGCATGCATAAACACAGAACACAACAACAAAGGTGAACAGAGTACATACACAAGTGCACAACACAGTTGTGCAGGTAAACAGAGCACATGCACAAACACAGAACACAACACATGAACAGAGCACACATGCAAATGTAGAGCACAACAGCACAAGTGAACAGAGCACATGCACAAACAGAATGCAGCAGCACAGGTGAACAAAGCACATACACAGACACAGAACACAACCACACACATGCAGAGCACACAAATAAACACAGCAAATGCAGAGCAAAGCAACACAAGAATGGATAACATACACGAACACAGAAAACAACAGGGCAAACGCACAAAGCACATATACAAACACACAACACACAGGTGAATGTAGTTAGGCGAACAGAGCATATACACAAACGTGGAACACAACAGCACAGGTCAGCGGCGAACGCGCAGTCGCTGAACAGGACGGCGCGCGGAGCACACACACACACACTGAATCGTCCGGACCCCGGAGCCCGCTGCCAGACACCCCGCCGCCGCCACCCGCTCCCGCCAGCGCACCTGGTCGATCTCGTCGAACAGGTAGAACGGCGCCGGGTCGCACTTCTGGATGGCGAAGATGAGCGCCAGCGCCACCAGCGACTTCTGGCCGCCCGACAGCTGGTTCATCTCGCGCATCTCGGCGTGCTTGCCGCTGAACGACACCCGGATGCCGACGCCCGTGAACGAGTCGACGGTGGTAGCGCGGGGCTCCTGTCGGCCGCGGGGGAGGGCGTCAGCGGCGGGTCGACGCGCTCACACGCGCGCGCCACGACACTCCCTCGGCTGGCGGCCGTGACGCTCTTCGGCTGTGACATTGCGGCAGGACAGACATGGAAACCAGCCCATGCCTGGAGCAGCTCGCTGCCGAGACGGGGATTGTGTACGATGAGTCTGCTGCAGCAAGCAACTCCTTTCCAAAGAGCGCGAAGTCGACCTGGCAGTGTGCGTGAGTCAGCGTTTTCTCGCCAGTTCCACCCGGCCCCCCACGGTCACACGCTCTCACCGCGTCCTCGTCGTCGTCCTGGTCGGTCTTCATCACCAGCTGCGCGTGGCCCTGGGGCACGAGCTTTCCGAACACCTCAGTGAAGTTCTTCGACACCTGCTTGAACGTGAACTGGATGGCCTCGAACTTGCGCTGCTCCAGCACCGACATCAGTTCCATGATCTTGTCGTAGCTGGAGGCGCAGCAGGTCACGTTGTTGTACACTGGCAGTCGCTTCAGCAATGCATAGTTGTTTTACATGGTAAAATGACCGCCAATTTTAGCTTCATAGCATATTATTAACCCCAGCCCGACGAAAACACTTCCACTCTGCGTCATTGCATGCGGACGATGAGCACCCACAAGAAAACTGAGAAGTAAAGACGGTAGGACACCAAAAATTGTCTCTTCTCCAAAGGCAAAATGATGATACCAACCACCAGAATGCTTAGGTCCTATGGGTGGTCACAACATAAGACCAAAGACAGGACATCAGACAGTAACAAAAAACACCGGGCTACCTTGTGATAATTACGCGACATGACCTACGACAATGCTCTCCATTGTCTTCTAGGTGTTCAACTAAAGGCACTAGATGTTTCAATCCATTGCCATCGATTTGGATGTTGCTGCAAAAAACCTCAAGTTGGGAAAAAAGAAGCAGTGTATGACAGTTTTGTCTCCGTTTAAACCAAAAGCCAAGCGACCAGGACGCCAGCGTCGAGTGCGGTAAGCAAGCACTGATCATACACTCGAACGCAGAGGTACCCACCCTCTATTTTGCTGATCCTTGCGCTGCATCAGCTTCTCCTTTTGCTCACTGAAGTGTACAAACTGGTCCAGAGCCTTCTTGTTGACATGGCTGTACTTCTTCAGCTCACTGTTGGACTGCTCTAGTTTCTTGAACAGCTGCTTGGAGCTCAGGTTCTGGTACTTGTCAAACGCATCCGATGGCAGTGAACCCAGCTCACGAATCTTTTTTGTGCACTCCTGTATCTTGTTCTGCAACACGTTTTGCCTGGAAGCCATCTTCTCCAAATCCTTGGCATCCTCGTCGATACGTTCCTGCACTTCCTTCTCCTTGGTCTTCCACGTCTCCACCTCCTTTTGTGCCTCTTTCTGCTTCTTCTGCAGTGAGCTGACCTTCTTCTCGAAGTCCTTCAGGTTCTTGCTGACGTCGGCAATTTTCTCCTCGGAGCGCTGCAGCTCCGCCTTGCTGTGCTCCAGCTGTCGCTTTCTGTCTTCTACACTGATCTCCTGCAGCGCCTGCATCAGCTCGTCCTTGCGTCGGTTCAGGTTGTTGGTCAGCAGGTTCTCCAGCTTGTTCTTCTCCGCCTCCAGCTTCATACGCAGACTGAACGCCTCCTTGTTCTCACGGGTCAGGCGGCGAATGTCGTCGTTCAGTTTGTCCACCTCGTGCTGATCCTCGACCGAGAGCGTGGTCATGAGGTCCTGGTGTAGTTCCGACTCCAGACCCTCCTTCGTGCTTTGCATCGCCTCCAGGTTGGCGCGCAGCGTATTCAGAGAGCGCTCCTTAGGCTGGCGCGAGCGCTCGATGCCGTTCAGCTCCTCCTTCATCAGCCGGATGTCGGCCTTGACCTTGTCGAACACGTCCTTGGCCTTGCTGTTCTTTGTCTCGGTGCGCTGCATCTCGGAGACGATCTTGTTGATCTCCGACTCGGTGCTGCGCAGCTGGTCCTTGAGGGTGGAGAACTCGTCCTCCGACTCGGTAATCTGCTGCATGAACTCGCTGCGCGTCTTTTGGATCTCCAGGACGGGAGCGTGACGTATTGAAGTAGCCGCCCGTTAGCGAGCCCTTGCTCATCACCTGCAGGCCAGAAGGCGGACGACGCGTGACGTCATACCGAGGGCAGCCAGAATACACGCCAACGACATGGTCTGTACGGGGTTCGACTACGCAACCATAGCCAATATATCACCAACTATGCCGTGCATATCCCATGATCATCCAAGCCATTTGGAAAAGTACATAGCTGTACTCGCCAGGCAAAGGAAGTAACCTAGAAACAAGAGTAAAGGAAACGCTATCACGGCCGTCCCACGCACGTATTCCAGGGGCTGGTGCATTGTAAGAATCCCACATCGAGGCCGTAAACCGACCGACCAAAGCTGACTATCTAAATCGAGGCGGCGGCAACAGCGCGCTTCCCCACACGCACCGACATAATGGCGGGAACGTAAGCTTCAACGGACCTCACCGATTCTGCTCTAAGCGCACCACCTGGTCTCTGAACGCGAGGCCGGAGAGGGGACTGGTCTCGGGCCGCCCGTGCACCACCCCTCGTCTGACCTGGTCTCCGTCCATCGTGACACAGTCGAGCCGGTTGGTCTTGGCCAGCTGGGTGGCAACCTCCAGGTTGCGGCAGATCAGAGTGCGGCCGAAGATGTACTTCAGGGCCTTGTCGTAGCGGTCGTCGTAGTTCATCTTGCTCACCATCGGAATCGCGTCCTGACCACACACACACAACAGCGTGAGCCACGAGTTCGAGCTGCGAGCTGGCATTCGTCCAACTTTGCGCTATATGGAAGCAAACCTGGCAGCTGCTATGCTGCACAGGCTCCCCCAAAGCACATCTACCAGCCTCAACAAGGTTGACAATGGACAAAACACCCAATCATTTCTCCTGACCTAACGGGCACTCCTCCGGTGAAATGGTTACTTAGAGTACCGTCCTCGTCAATGGCGTTATTGTTGGCAGAACGTGTCGGCCGGATATTCCTCGGGTCGTTGTCAGGCGCTACTTGGCCCAACCAGGCAGCCGAAGTTGGTGCTGATTTTGTCATGATGTTGATGACATATGCTTGCTATGACACATGTCGGCGGTCGCGGAACGGCGGACCAAAACGCCAGGCAAACAATAACACCATCCGCCAGGACAACTACCATACTTGCTTTCACCTGTACACACCTCTTGCCCCAGACATTCGGGAAAACTGAGACGCCGCCCTTTCAAGAAAACACAAACGACGGACGAGGCGTCGATACAAAGGCGTAACATAAGTACGCGTATTTTCAACATTGCTGGGTACCGTCCGGCAACTCCGTGACAAACAGAGGCGCGAGAGACGGACGAGAGGCTGCCTGCAGCACGCCCATCTGGTCTGGCGGGTCCGCCGGCCGGCGCGGCGCCCGCGGCGGCCACTCACGTTCGTCTGCGGGTACTCGATGTCTCGCACGGCCAGCCGGTTCAGCGGCATGAAGGTCACCTCGCCCGGCAGCTTCTGCTTGTTCATCTCCTTCAGGATCTGCGTGCCCACCTTGTCCGAGTCCACCACATGGTGAAACAGCCTGGAACGCGCGCAGTACACGTCGGCATACCCCGGTAGCGAAGACGGCATCACTGGAGCGACGGCAAGGGGTGTCGACGCCATGACACGTGAGCGTCATGGGAAGCCTGTGTGTGGGGTTTAACAGTCTACTACCCGCATCCTGCACTAGTCGATTAATGCTATATCTTGTTGATTATTGGTGTTTTAGAGCGCATCGACCACAATGGTCATGCTGCGACCATATACATGTTGCATCGCTTTTACATGTTCTCGCGCGTTACATATTACGTACGCACGCACGCATGCTCGCACGCACGCACCCACACATTATATATATGTATATGTATATAATATATATATATATATATATATATATATATATATATATATATATATTATATTTCTGTACTATACCCCAGCAATGCACTCTGCTCCCAAGAGATTGGTGTTCGTGCTCCCATTCGACCGCGCCCCGTTGCCCGCTCGCCATCCGCGGCGGCGGCGGCGCACCGACCTGTTGCCGGCTGTGACCTCGACGGCCGTGTAGATGGTCTTCTCGCAATCGAACAGCTCGATCACGGGGCCGTAGTAGGCGCCGGCGTACTCGGCCCACTGGCCGCCGCGCTCGCGGAACGTGTCCAGCACCTTGCGCACCGAGTCGCGCCCGTTCAGGATCGGCTTGCCGGCCATCGAGCGCAGCGACTGGTCGGCCCGGCTGAGCTCCTCCTTCAGCGACGCCAGCGTCTGCTGCAGGTTGTTCTCCTTGCGCCAGAGCTCGCTGTCGGCCGGCAGGCGCGGCGCCCTCGTCAGACGGCGTCAGCGGCACGCCCGGCGGCCGGCAGTTTCGCCCGACCCGGTGCTGGTCCGACTTTGCGGGCCGCCGGCGATCTTGTACATTACACACAAAAAACGTACAACAAATGGGGAACGGGGGGGGGGGGGGGGAGGCGACGCCGACGAGACGCAATACTGCCCCCGCTGATAGAGGGTGTGAGTGTGGGTGGGGGAGGGAGTCAAAAGCGCTTCCAGTGGTGATGCAATGTCGCCAACCGCGGCCTCCCCCCCCCCCCCCCCAATTCATGTGGTAGCTGCCTCTTTCACGGCCGTTGCCACCGCGCCACGGCATTTCTGCGAGGTTTTAAATATAATAGGGACCCTAACGAACAGATTGCACTATTAGCCGCAACGGCATCACGAAACATTTTTCATGGACGCGCCATGACAAGTAACGGCGGCATGGACCGAAGACCCCCACGGCAAAGTATGTAGCAATCTGTTTCTGTATTTGCATATTATTCTGATTTTATTCACTGCGACTTTCACTAACACGCCACATTTTATTGTCGATTATTGAGTGTTGGCTGTTAAGTCGCTTGAGTCGAAAAACTGCTTTTTGGAACGCGAGTTTTCTCCACGAAGTCACCATCTCCATCCAGTCAAGTCACGCTCCACAAATTTCTCCAATGAAACCCAGTTTTGTCATGAGCAAGTGAGGCCTATCACCCGTCTCCGTCAGCCCCTTACGGCCCGGTATGGACAAGAACCATCAACAACTCTGTCACACATACACGCACATAACCAACTCTGTATAAAGAAGATAAGAGGTAAAAGCTGAAGCATAGATTGAAGCAGCAAGCAACAGAAGAAGCAACAAAAGAGCATGCACATGGGAGATGCTGAACCAGGAGGATCTGGAGGTGTAGCCCATGCCCGTCTGACGGTTATAAGTACCCCCTCCCTCCCCTCCCCCCCCCCCCCCCCCCAGATTACGGAATATCCCCAACTGTTCCAGACAGGCCCAACCAATTTGCAGTGCCTGCCAGATGATCATGAGAGACGCAATCACGACGGGTCAGGTTGCATAGTTGTGACGTCAACACGTCCCTCCCTAGACTGTCCAGCACTCGCCGCACGCAAGAGCAGCAGGCCGCACGACACCTGCATGGCGGTTTACTGCGCAAATCAGGCAGGAAGTGCAGTTCCTACGCAAAGTGAGCCATTACTATGTCGCTTTCATTCAACTCAAGCAGCCCATGAACCCGGGGAAATGCAGTTCCATGAACGTAGCGAGGTTTCTCACAACCTCCACACAGCAGAGCTGGATGAGCAGCCGGCTAGCGAGGATGGAGGACAGGACAGGTGAGGAGTGGCTGGACCTTCTGGAGTCCACGGCCCGGCCATGAGCTCTCTTCAGCTCGCCTTCTCGGCGAATGTACTCCTTGATCTTCTCCCAGGTTTCGCCCACATGCGCCTGGGAGGTCTGCGGACCAGGACGGGCAGTGAGGGACAGTGAGGGACAGTGAGGGACAGCGAGGGACAGCGAGGGACAGGACGGACGCGTGGCGTGGCGGCCGGCGTGCCTCCGTCCACCACCGCCGGGCGGCTTGGACAGGCGAGCAGCCGGAGGAGAAGCAGGCCGCTGCGCTGGTCTCACGGCTACGGAGCTGGAGCAGAGCACGCCACGGCCGGTGGTGACGCGGGAGAGCTCAGCTGCTGCGCCCGTCGGCCGGCCGCCGGGGGGAGCTGGGTGGGCTGGAAGACGGCCGGATCAGGAGCTGCACCGGCAGCGCTGCTGTGCTGCGCACGCCCACCACCGGCATCGCCAGAGACAGCAGCAGCCCACGCACAGCCGCTGGGGAGGCTCGGGTGAAGTGAAAAATAACCACTTGGCATTTTCAAAACCTACATATGTTTTAAGCAGCCCACGTGTGGGTATTGGAGGGTTTGCTTTTAAAAATGGCTTACGTACATTTTCCCTTGTTATGCTGCCCTCCAAGCTCATTGATAACGCAATTTACCTGGAAAAGAAGCCCAAAGCAAGGATTCCAAACGACCGAAAAGGTCATATTAGATTATACCAAGTGTAATAGTTTTGGCTCCATAACCATACGTTCTTTTTCGGGGCGAGAACTCTTCCACCATGATGGCACTGGAATTGAATTGTCTACACAGGGTTTTCTGTGATTTCTGTACCAAACTTTTTCGCAAAATGCTCCCTTGATACCACAATCCCGAGTAACGCATATACTTCTTGTGACAGCAGCATTCTTCCCAGGGCATCTCGCAACGTACGCAGCTCAACCTAGGATGGTTGGGGGGGGGGGGGGGGGGGTAGGAGGGGAGGGGCGATCTGCTTATCAGCGGGCAAACTAGCAAACATCTTGTTTTCGTCCAGAATTTCGGCCCATTCTCCGCAGCCCCCATTCACGGGTCTCCTTCTCACGCCTACCCTCAGCACGCCGCACGCAGCACGGCGCTCTCCACAGCACGTGCGTGCCAGCACCGCTCACCGGACACCGACGGAGAACAAGACTCGCCGCGTATGCCGAACGGCAGGGCTCTCTGGCGAGGCGCCGCCTGACGACGGCGACGCCGCCAGGACGCTGTGTGCGGCCATAAGAGAGCGGAAGGAAGCAAGGCCTCCGGTTTGCAATGCGATGCGGGCTTTTAGCTTCCCATCGACGACATACGATGCCTGCGTGTAGATAAATCGTAGTCTTTTCTAAAGTTTCTGAAGTTGCCAGAGTTTTGTTGCCCCGATGGTCTAGGGGAAAGACACTAAACTCGTAATCCAGCGGCATTGGGTGCGGGTCTCAGAGCGGATGCATTGTTTGGCCCGACTGAAATGGAAAGGCCAGCTGGCAACTGGCCAACGAGGGTCAACCCTGGCCCGGGACAGCCGGGTCGCAGCATTGTGCAGCACTAAAGAGCTCTGCATTTCTGTCTGGCGAAAGGGTGGAGGCAAAATCATCTGTTGAACTAAAGACACAACTAGGTAGGCTGAACCCAGTCACCAGTGAAAACCATTCGGAATAAGTTACTAAAAAAGTCACCTCACCTCAATATCAGATGTAACGGTTAGCAAATGTTGATTTAGAGTTCTCCAGTACAATACGCAGGTCCCTTAATCCACACAAACGAATGCGTTGCGCCTTTCATATCGTGCTGAATGTGGTGAGATCCCATACAAACCCATCAGGGGTTAAGTGCACCTTAACTGGGCTCTTGGGGCTTGATTTACGCTCATTACGCAGCGCGGAAAGCGAAATAAAATGCTTTCCAGCACATCCGATGTGGGTTCTTCTAAAAACATGTAGGTTTTTGGAATTACCGAATCGATTTTCGCTTCACCTCAGGTGGACGCCCCCGGAGCTGGCCATGCAGCCGCGTGCGCCGCCACCCTGGGCCGACCACCGGAGCATGCTGGGACGGGGATTAGCGGGACATCGCACCGCAGCCCGGCGTCTTACTTTCGCTCGCTCTGCAGCTGGTCCTTCCGCTTCTTCATATCGTAAAAGCCCTTGTTGTGATCATCGATGCTTAAGCGATAGCGGTCCATCTCGCCTGTCATCTCCTTCGAGGACGGCACGGCGGCGGTCAGTCAGTCGCTGCCGTGCGCCACGGACGTGCACGACACGTGTCGCCGAGCGAAGTCCCGCAAACGCCCGTCACCGCCGGCGCGCGGCGCACCGCCCGGCCAGCGGCACGCGGATGGTGGCGAAACAACGGGAGATGAAGGCCGCTCCAATAGTGGCAAGCTAAAACACGCCACCGCGGCAACGTCTTCTGACAATTGACTTTTAACATCGGCTCACGCGTAGACGCATCGGCGCAAGTGATCTAGAGAACAGCGGCGTTGCCCTGACAAAAGGGAGAATGCTGCTCCGCAGCAAATTTGAGCTACGAGACCGGCAAAGCTGGCTGAAAGAAGTGCCGCCAATAAACAAACGCTGACGCATCCCGTCTTGTGGACATCATCATCAGCATTTGGGTAGCATTATTCACCAACAAGTCATTGGTCCGAGCGTTAAAAGTCAACAGAATACCGCAGTCTGTCCTGCGGTCGCCGGCCCCGGTCTGGCGGCGGGTTGTGCGGCCGGCGGACGGCACCCTCACCTCGATCCGCTTCTCCAGCTGCACCTTCTTCTCCGCGTCCCGGGTCAGGTCCTCCGACAGACGGTCGATCTGCTCCTTCTTGTCCTTGATCTGCTTGTTGAGCGACCTGTCCGGCACACCGACGCCCCGGTCAGCGGAACGGCTGCAGACCCGGTCCGTACAACGGCGGCCGGTGGGGTGGGGACAGCGCACCACGCCGGCACCACAGTCGGCAGAACGGTGGCCGGTGGGGCGGGGACGGTGCACCACTCCGGCACCACAGTCGGAAGAACGGCGGCCGGTGGGGGGAACGGTGCACCACGCCGGCACCACAGTCGGCAGAACGGCGGCTGGTGGGGCGGAGACGGCGCACCATACCGGCACCACAGTCGGCAGAACGGCGGCCGGTGGGGGGAGACGGTGCACCACGCCGGCACCACAGGCGGCAGAACGGCGGCCGGTGGGGGGAGACGGTGCACCACGCCGGCACACAGTCAGCAGAACGGCGGCCGGTGGGGCGGAGACGGCGCACCACGCCGGCCCCACCACAGGCAGAACGGGGCCGGTGGGGCGACGGTGCACCACGCCGGCACCACAGTCGGCAGAACGGCGGCCGGTGGGGCGGGGACGGCGCACCACACCGCAACGCGATCAGTGAAGCGGGAACGACGGGGCGGGGACCACACCCACACCTGAGACACTTGCGCTATACCCCGCGACGCCTCACGTTTTCGCGCCAACAAAGACGTGTCCTGCACTGTTCAACGGACAGTGACGCACAGAGAATCAAGACAGCACATGCCGTGTGCTTCTAATACACCAGACGGCACTCCTGACCCCAAGCTGGTTCATGCGGTCACCAGAGCAATGCAAATAAAGTAGCAGCGTTTATTCGGCTGCCAGCGTCTCGCCCCAGCAGCAACGGCAGCCGTGCCGACCGGCGGCGGTACCCACTTGAGCTCCTTCTGGATCCACTGGTCGCGCTGGTCCTTGGACGTGAACTGACTGCCGCGACCCTGCTTCGCGTACAGCTCCTTGCGCTTCTGCTCCTTGAGACCGAGCCTGCGGCGGTCGGAGGACGAGCGATGACCCGGTCGGCCAGGCCACGAAAGCACACCCCACTGCGGCACTCATGGCGCCAGGCACGTGCCATGGAATAATCCGACGGGGCGGGCAGAAATAATTCAGTTATGGTGCAGGACACGGCGCATTATGCAGACGTCCACCGCTTCCTGATAATTTTTCCCGGTTGAGTTTTTGAGCTCCGAGGTGATCTGGTCATGGTGAGTTTTTACAGCCGGCGGCCCCACCACGAACCTAACGGCGCAAGGATATCCTTCCCGGTTACTTAACGGCGTACTGCGCCGCTCCCGCTCAAGGATTGGCACACAGTCTCCCCTCTCCCCCCACCTCCTGTCCTGTCACCCCACGGACTTTCTGGAGCATTCCCCCCTGCGACAGCTCCGTAACACGGACCCCTCCCTGGTGTGACGGCGCCGGCCGAAAGCCGCTGCTGAACCCCCTCCCCCGAGGCGGCCCCACGGCCGCACTCACTCCCGGGTGCACTCCTCTTCCTTGCGCTTCATCTCCTCGTACTGCGGCCGGTTCTTCTCCAGTTCGGCCTCCTTCTGGTTGATGGTCTGGCGCAGCTTGTCCAGCTCCTGCTCCGCCCGCTCCTGAGGAGACGAGACCGCACAGGTCACGTGAAGCCAGGTTCCAGGCAGACCACACACCCGCCGACACGGCATACTGCAGCGCACATGCAGCACCCAATGACGAGCTTCTGGGCTCGCGCCAGACAGGCCTGCGCTCCAACCACGCACGCGGTACCATTGGACTTTTCGCCGCCCGAGATCTTGTCGGGCAGGTCACGGATGGTCCGCTTTAGCCGAATGCTCACCTTGGACTTGTTATCGCCCATGACCTCGTCCGACAGGTCGCGGATGGTCAGCTCCAGCCTAGTGCGGTCCTTCAGCAGCTGCTGGTTCTCGGCGTTGTAGGCGTCGCGCTCCTCTTTGGCAGAGCCCACCTTACCTGCGGACCAGACAGGCCGCGTGGCAGGTCACAGCCGTCCAACCAGCTTCCACCAAACGCCATGGAGATAAACTATCAGTGCCTCGTCACCGTTCTCGCATGGCGAATGACGCAGTGAGTTATCTGATTTTTTTTCCTGTGTACCGTCTGACAGCTAGTGGCGTGATAAACAATGTATCTAAAAGTCAACTTCATGACTGTCCCTACAAAACAGTAGTGGCTGTGCTGATGAGATGCTTGTCGCAGAACGAGACCACTGGGCAGGATAGGACTCAAATCAGGAAACTGCCCTTGATGAATCTACATTAGTGATATTAATATGCTCAGTGGTTAGGAACGTAAAATGGGGTATATATATATATATATATATATATATATATATATATATATATATATATATATATAATTAAGATGTGCGACGGGCTGACGACCAAACACGCAAACCATACATACTTTTCACATCTTTCAGTTCCTTGGCGGCGGTTTTCGCCTTCTCTTGGGCGTTCTGGAGTTGAGATTTCAACTTTTCTTGCTCCTTTCCAGAGTTGTTCCGCTGGTTCTCCATCTGAGTGGAACAGAAAAAGTGAAACATCATATTTGTCACAAGAAGACGGATTGCAATCGTTCTTCAATGCTCTAGTTCCACGGCGAATGACCTTTCGTGACGCGGTGATCAATTGGTTATGTTAAGTACTGCGGTTAAGCAATGCAACCTTTGTTAACTCGCCATGTTCTCCAAAGGACATAAAAACAACAGGACCAAAAGGCTTAAGCAGTGACAAAGACGACGACTGTATGTGACTGACGTCGTCCAGTTTCTTCCTGTTGTCCTTGAGCTCGCGGTCGTGGATGGTGTACTCGAGCGAGCGGCGCATCTTGTCCCACTTCTGGTACTCCTTCAGCTCCTCCTTCTCCTCCTCCAGCGCCGAAAGCCGATCCTCGATGGTGCGCAGAAACTCTTCGATCTTCTCCCGCTTGCTCTCACACTCTGGCGGTTGGGAGCATCCAGCCGCGTCAGACCCCAGCTTGTCCACGCCATGGCGCAGCTGCTACTCAAATAAAGACACGCGCTCTCGCGCAGGCGAACCGCGCCGCCCACAACTATCCGACGTCAGGGATAATGGCAAGGATCGACTTCAATATTTGCAACACGCCGGGGCGTAATGACTAAATGGCACCTGCGTTACGTGGTAACGTAAATGCATACCCAGAGTACGGAAAAACGCAAGGCAAACAGACACTGTCACAAGTAACAACATATCAACAAATATAGCCATGTAAGACAACTGAACTAAAAATCACATTCATGCACACAAGTACACATCAGAACGAAATACGACGCAAACCAAAATAGCGCCGGCAGAACACATCCACGAATAACGCATTTATGGACAAAATAATAACATTGTTGTGACCCAAAATGGATGCATTTGTGCCAATCCAAGCAAGTATAACTCCTAATATGCTTCATGGAAAGCTTTTTAACGACTAGTCCAAGTTCAATTGCATACGCAGACAACGATCCTTGGCTGAGCAGATCAGCAGCCAATTTCGTGCAGTGGCGCCAGCGGCGGTACCTTTGAGCAGGACCTTGGACTCCTCGCGCCGCTCGTCGTAGACGCGCGTGCCGGCCACCTCTCTCAGCAGCTTCAGACGCTGCGAGTCAGGCGCCGTCGCCATCTGGTTGATCTGAAACGGCGCCCCATCCACATGAGCCCCAGCCGGGATGGGGCCGTCGGCAGGCTGTCGGAGACGCACGCACGCACGCACGCACACACACACACACACACACACACACACATACACACAAATACACACACACACACACACGCACACACACATACACACACCGACGAATACAACTACCCCCGACGGACGCTATACGCGGCGAGTCGTCGGCGTCCACAGCATCGTCCAAGTTTCATGCGGCGTCCAAACGGCACAGCAAGCGCTCCCGCCGGCCAGCTCACCTTGCCCTGTTTGACGATGTAGTACGGGTTGGAGCGGGAGAAGCCGGCCGACTCCAGCAGGTTCATCACGTCCGATTTGGGGACCACCTTCTTGTTCAGGAAGTACTGGTCCTTCTTGGAGCCGATCACGCGTCGCAGATAGACCTCCTCCTTGTCGATCTGTGGGGAGGTAGCAGGCTCGCAGACCCGTCGCAACCACGGGCTGGGGATGATGGCATCACCAGCGCCACCGAAAACACCGCGAGCGGCCGCGCCCGTCTCCCCCCCCCCCCCCCCCCCTTCCCTGCCCCCGGGGAGCTCCGTCAGACGCGTCGGCGCCGGGCCACACAGGCGACGACCGCCCACTGGCGGCCACCAGCGGTCCGCCCGGCGGGACGGAACTTACCGGCAGTCGGCCGTCCGAGTTGTCGAAGATGATCTCGACGTAGGCGGAGATGACGCGCGGTCCGGTGCCCTCGTGCAGCAGCGCCTGCCGCTGGTCGGGCCGCAAGTGCGAGAACTCGTCGCTCAGCACGAACTGGATCGCTGTCGGCACGCAGACGAGGGCGAGTGCTCGACCGGTCGCCGCGGCGGCTGGCTCGACCGCGGCCACGCGGGGCGCTGTGCCCCGGACGTGGTATGCCATATCCCATGCGCCACAGTTATTGCGCGTAAAGCAGCACGTGGCGCGCTACGAAGGACAGCGAAATGCCGACTGCTTGTCAATAAATGTTTCACGGCGTACTAATGACACACTGAGGAATGTTCAAAACCAACATCAACCGATTGTCGTTCTGGAGGCTCACGGAGCCAACGCACTTACGCCCAGCGAGAAGGCAGCCATATCTAAAAAATGAAGGCTACGCTTCCGCTGAAACCAAAACTTACCATAGAAGAAGTTGCTTTTTCCAGAGCCATTTCGACCAACTGAAAAGCAGAATATTTCGTAAAGATACTTTCATAACGACGCTCATATCAAAGGTTGTGACACAGGCTCAATTACATAGGCAGGTAGGTGTTGCATTCACAGCACATCCAACTGGCTGGATGATGAGGTCTTATATCATTATGTATATTTATGCCAGGAGGTATTATTCGTGGACTTGTCATGTACGCAGCACAAGTGGCTACAGCAAAGATGGTAAAAAGCAACAACAATTGACGGTCTGATGTCCAGCAGACAAAATACTGGTCAATACAACCAAATTAAGAGGAAAAACGTCCAAAACTTACCAACAACATTGTGTCTGTGGTCAAATGGCTCTATGACGGTCTGATCTCTGTAGCTTTTGAAGCCCTGTATAATAATCTGAAACAGGAAATGGTTTGCTGAAGCAATGACCCGTGAGGGCACGATGGACCTCATCCAATGTGGGCAAAGTGGTAAGTGGGAACAGTATAAGTCGTGCTGGCCGTCCAGCGGGCTATCAGGTTACGGGCATCAAAAGACCGCGCTCCTGTTTTTTTATGAGCTCTCTAAACTTTTCATTTCATAGTACTCTTTTCGCCAAACGCACAGCGCAGGTTGTGGTAACATTTGCGCGTACGATGGGGTTAACCTTTGTGACGATCCAGGACATATATCCCCGTCTGTCAAGAGCCAGCGTCGGTCAGTGTGCGTCAGAGGGGGACGGGGGGGGGGGGAGGGGCATATTTGGCATTTAGTAGCGAGACATTTTTCGTACATGTAGGAGAAAATAGTTGCACCATGACCAAGCTGTCAGAAACATCTAGCAAAACGCAAACTACCATGGACATAGCGCCCCACAAACAACTGACGCAGACATCACAATTTTAGAAAAAAAGATTGTGAATATAAATGCCCTGTGAATGATTGGGGTGTGATTTGCAAACAAATGCTGTCAGTTGGAGGCGGTACTCTCCCGACACCAGAAACGCAAACTCTTCGCGCTGCGTAGCACGCAGAAACCACAACTAAATTGTTGCATGTAATGTCTTGAGGGTGGAGCAACACGCACAGACAAGGCAAGGTATCCAGGAAAGTTACCAGCTTACAGAATGTAACCAAGATCCACTTCATACTGCCGAGACAGGCAACAATGACCTCTCACGGGTAGCAACACTATCAAATACAATGAAGTCCCTGCTTCTCGCAGACAAACAAGACCACACCACTGGCCTTTTTCGGAACTCTGAACCATCAGGCATGGAAAGGGGAGAGGGGCATAGCAAATATGGCAACCAGACACCAGGTGGTCAATATGGTCCCAATTGTTGGTTCCATATGCAGCTTGTGCCTCATGAAGAGCATTTACATAGTCTGTGCTATGTCTTAAAAGCAAGCACCTGCATAACACCTGGCATTTATTTCCAGCATAATCCCATGCCATTTCGCTGTAAGACTGATACAGAAACACATGAGTAAAACATACAAGCAAATTTCAACACAATGCAAACATGCCATAACAGAAGTTGTCAGGCATTTACACTAGGTATACTAAATGCATACAATGAAGTTGGATGCTGAAAAATGACATGAAAATAGCCCTGCCTATGGTAATGGTCAAATACATTGAACACTGCATACCTGTTTGATGTACATGGCTTGTTTTCTTGTTGCTTGCAGCTGACACAACTCTGACAAGGACAGTGCCTGGCTGTAGTCACCAGAAGTGATGCTACCTGACAAGAACACACATTATATCATCATATTGCCATTTCCAAGAAATGATAACAGGAACTTACATAAGTCCTGAAATCATGCACCATGAGCTTCACCACACAAACTTGGCATTTTTACATTTTTTTGGTAGAACCACATTCTGGGCTTTTCTACGACCAACACATTGTGCCTGATGGTGCCACAGGTTCTGGGCTTTGAACCGCATTCTGGGGTTTCCAGAAAAAAATACCATTGGGACAAAGAATCATGTTACTACATGGCTATCCAATTGCAAAGGTACAAATCCCAAATTGTCCTCACACAAATGTCAAATTTTCTCTGACATACCATGAATTTGGACAGAATTCTTGCAAAAATGTCCAGTTTCCAGTGTTAGCCTCTTGGCTCTGGGATGGGAGAGGGCACAGCATGTGTTCAGGTACTGAACAGGGTATTGCACCAGATTTAGGATTGAGACATAAATGAAGTTTTGGTCAGCTTCTAACAGACTTTGTACAATCAATTGCCACTATCAAAGACCTGCCTTGGCCAGCCTCAGTTGCTGCTGTTGGATTATAAGGCCTGATGTGCTGGTGCTGGGGCCTGGATTCTGGTACTGGGGCAGTATCCATAGTGGAAACATGGTGGTGATCAGTTTGTACAATGGCAAGTGATGATGGCCAAGATGATATCAGTTGGCACAAGCTTACCAAAAGCATATAAACAGCTGCACCATGCTGATGGTGGTTAACACATGCTGATGGTGGTTGCATGCTGACACATGCTGATGGTGGTTACATGTCTGTCAACCACTGCAAGTGTGGGATACCAGATGTACCATTTTTAATGATTCCCTGCAGTTGCCTGCCCTCCCTGCCAAGGCATGATGCAGGCAATATCCTGTAGACTCAGTAGCTGAGTGTGTCCTAAAGCCCTAGTGACACACTACAAAAATAAATACATAAAGATATGATCATGAAGATAGTAGTGGCTGATTCATGCCACAGACAAGGTAAGCATGAACATATCTGGAGTGTGAAACACTAAAATATAATACATCATTTCCACAGTAAGACAATTTACAGAATGTGTAGGAATTCCTCAGGGCATTGCCACATTACTTTTTTAATTTCATGAGCTGTGCTAGCCACTGGGTAGCCAAGTGTCACAAGCACTGCTCATATTCTGTATAGGCCACTGCCACAATATACATTTTACTTGGAGCATGTCCACAAAGTGCTGGGATGGTGCCAAAAATATTAGTATGGGCAAACTGTAAACATGAGTGCTCCAAAGTTGATGCACAATTGCCACTCACTTCAGGGAATTAGGAACCAATGTTTCAAGAGCTTCAAGTGCTGTAAAAATGCATCATGTAAAAATTGACCCTTAATGCCCCTTAACCTTTTGAAGCAAAAATTAATACCAATGCAATCCAGCCTGAAATGAGTTTGGCATACTGCATCAGTGCCTCTTGGGCATCTAGCACAATCCATGCCTCTTGCAAACTGAAGTGTTAGTATAGCATGTGTGGCGTGAACACATTAATCCAGAGGTGTGAACATATGTGAATATGTTCAATAATGGTGGGTGTGAACACATTAATCCATTAATCCAACTCAAACTGTACACATATAACAATGGGCATGTTACAGTTTGTTGTTGGTTTATTTATGATCAGATCAGACCAAATCATGACTTGTCATTCTGTTAAATCACTCCCATCACTGCAGTACCTACATCTCGATAACAACGTAAGTATCTTAAGACTCGAGAAGAGACATAGCCTAGCAAAATTAATTAAGGGGCTGGGCCAAACGGGGGAAATGGCTGAGACCAGCCCACATATAATTGTTACAACTGTAACTCCCATTCTTTGCTCACCGTCTTCCCAAAATTCAAAAGATGTGATATTAATAAAAAACATATACCTGGGCTATGATGATACTTAATGATGGGGCATGACTGTCAAGCGATCACCAATTCACGGATATTTCAGCCGTAGCAACCACTCACCCCGCGGCGTCGCTTCCCGCCATATCAATCTATGCGACGCAACTCTGCGCCGCGATGCAGAGCTTATACAATAAGTCAGTTGACTGTGTTAATGACGTCATAGTTTTTTTGGGTGCGGATTATTATGTCCGTACACGAGTGCTGGCGAGCACGCCAGCACGCCGGAAGTACCCACTGTTTTTGGGGAAGCGCAGCATGACCCGCCAGCAGTACTCTTCGCTTTGGCAAATAGCCAAGGGGGGGGGGGGGAGAGACGGAGAAACGACTCCGTGAATCATAGATATGCGTATTAGGGTGTGTCATCAGTAACAAAACCAAGTGAGACGAAGAAATTCCTTGGCGCTGGAGTCCACAAGTGCACAGCATGGCAAATTTTTTCCCCAAAAACTTCTATTAGTGAAGCGCGAGCCAATCGAAACATTGTGGTAAACCGGCGCCCGACGTTGCAGTCACCAATGCTCACCGGCCGGCGGCTGACCGCAGGTAGCACCAAACCGCTGAGCGGCAGAGGCAACTTCGCCTATGAAAACGATACTACTGAGCGCATCCTCAAAGCGATTCGTGCGAAAATGCACCATTCTAAGGTCCAAAATGAGGTTCAAACATTGGCCACTTGATGGTCATATGTTGGAAACCTAATGTGTTGTGAAGTATGAACTTGTACGAGCACGTTTGTTAATACTGTCTTTTGACTTCCACTTCTCTAAGATGGCCCATGTGCTGCAAACAAAACCATTCATAGCATATGACTCAGAATATATTACCTGGTGTACAACTTCAAACAAACACCAATGTCCGCAGTCTCCACCACATGCGTGGAGAGGGGTCAGAATAACCGAACACATCTTGCTCCTGACTGACCCTGGGTATTCGATTGCACTCGCTGAAACATGCAGCTGCTGAGAAACCGGAAACCCGTAACGCGTGTTGGCGGAGGGTCGCACAATAGCAAAAGTGCCGTCATAACCGGGCTACTCTATTGCCGAAGCTCCTGCCGAGCCGCAGATGTTCTCGGCTGTGCAGCGCTGGCTCCACTCCGCTCTGCAGCGCGTGCCCGGGCACTGCTGCACTAGCCGCTGCCAGGCTGGTCGACCCACGGTGGTGCCGTCTCCGTTCTGCGGGCTGCACGTCTTAAACGTTCCTGCCGTCGTGCTGCTGAACCGGAAGGCAGAGACACAGTACGTGCTGCTTGTAGGAGTGCCGAGTGCTGGTCCAGCGGTGCGCTCCTTAGTCTCTCCTCTCGAAAGACTGTCCTTCATCTGAGCAGCGGGCGGACGCAATGATGCGGCGGCGGCGGCTGCCGTACTGGGGCCTGCTGCTACGACTACCTGCGGTAGACACATTTAAGGGGGCTGTGATGGAAGCCTAATAGTCACGAAATTTCTTAAAAGTGACGCAATGCATGTTGTATTCATGCACGCATTTGCAATTTGAAATTGGCCCAGTTTCGGCATTGAGATAAATATGAATTTGAGGGATTGTAGAGTAGCTTTAAGTTGAAATGGGAGTATAATACATCTGTGAATGTGATCAGTTAATAATTACCCGCCTACCTTCAGAGCAGATCCTTCTTGGAGTTGACAGTGGGGAGAATATGTCGGTGCACGAGCTTGGCCGTGATGAGGCCATGCCGCGCCTCTTGTCCCATCCCCGCCGAACATGCCTCGGTGACAGTGCGCACGGCCCTCTCCACCGCCTGGGTTTGAACCGGATAAGGCGGGATGGGCAATGGAGCGTGCGCTATGCTTCGCAGCTCGCCGTCGCTGAGGTCTCGTAAGAGTGGGGGTTGCGTGACTGGTTCGCAACAGGAGATCAGCTCCGTGTAGCTCACGGCCTCGAAGTTGATCGTTGGGATGGGGAAGATCCTGGGCCCCTCGGCTTGCTGCTCACGCGCGGCGCTGATCATTTGAACCGCCTGTTCGCGGACCACACGGGCGTCGTCCGCCACCATAGCCAGCAGCAGCTGTTCCGGATGGGCCCAGTACCCGTTGCGATGGATGACTGGCTGCACCGTGGTCCGTGTGCGCTGCGGCAGCTCGCGGAGCAGCGCGATGCCTTGGAACAGGTTGCATGAGCTCACCTCACAGCTGCTGTCCTGCCGAATGGAGACACACACCGGCACATAGGGGCCAATCACGTACTGGACAAGGTCCTTGAGAACCCTGCTGGGAGTCTCGGTGGAGATGTCAGCTCGGAGCAGGCGAGCGGCCAGTGTAAGTCATCTGAAAACAAAAGAACAAGAACAGTTAAAACAATTCGTCTCGAACTGGGCACTAGGTCACACGAAAGTTATTTCAATTTTAACACAACGGCAACACTTATCAGCAACTGTACTCGTAAGCATGAACCATTGAGTGAATGATACGACATACTATGGCACAACGCAAGGTAATGAGTGAGTGCTTAACGTTGGGTACATGAAATGTCGAATGATGCGTGAGAAAGTTTCAACATTCATCGCTATGAATTCGAAGACAAGACGGCACTGGCAGCGTTAGTTTTATTTGGCGACATTACAATAACGTAGTTTGGTTTACGTAAAGATACATTGCCGAAATGTCAATATGTCTATTTCTCCATTTTCCTCGATATTCTGCGTGGAATAAGGCTATTATTGCTGTCCTATCACTATGCATAATATTTCTCGCAAATGCAGTTAAAAACGTCCGTAATTAGAGGACACCGTGATTTCACAATTACCAAGCATGGTTCAGTGGTCCGCTTCGCCGCCGAGCTGTAGCGGTGGCGGACGGAGCCGTTTTGTACGCCTGAGGCCAGCAGGTACAGCAGCTGCTGGTCGGTGCTCAGCTGCTGGACCAGGCCGACCGACAGGTTTGGCACATGTTCCGGCATAGGCTTGAATGCCACAACGTCCCTTTTCCAGACCTCTCCGGCGCAGATCTTGCCGATGGGTCCAGAAAAAG